AAGAAAATGAATATATAAGTGTTGGCTGCCTGGGTTCATTGTCTACGATGAATGTTGGAAGACCCCACATCCAAGGAACTGCTCATGCAGTTCATTGGCTCTGTGGGGTACCTTTCTGCTGGATGCAAGGGAGTTCGCGTGCATATGCAGCACCCTTTGTCATTAACTATGAGTTGCTGACCAGTCTTCATGGACCATGTTCCCAACCATATACTCAATTGCCATGGACTACGCCCTGGTACAAGCTTCTGCTGTGCCATGTGAGCAGGTATTTTCATCAAGTAGTGAAACCCATATGAAAAAATGGAATCGCCTCAGCCCCGTTTTGATGGAAGGATTACAAATGGTCAAGTTTTTCCTGAAGAAAGAACATCTTGACACCACAGGTTGGGTGGCAAGATCACATCTCCATCATGGTGAGGTTGGGAATACAAGAGTTGAACAGTGGTAATTATTTTCTAGCACGAACACTGTCATTATATCATTATACACCACTAACATTCCCCACTTGCTCATACCCATCCCTCGAACATGACCTACGTCTCAAATGATCTTCCACTATGGGTGTCGCATATCAGTGCCGATATTGATTTCAGCTATCAGAAAGGTTTTTCACATCCAGATGTCTAGATCCAACATTGACTTGTGGTTTTGCAGTTGCCACTGTCATCGTCATGGTATACAATTGGGGTAAGCAGGACAGTGTTCGAAAATCACTGATATTACCATAGTTCAAGACTCCGTGCCTCGAGACGATCAGAAAGGCACTCCCTTGAATGTTTTGATCGGTGTAGTAGCGCCTGTGGCCACGAGTATTGCAGCCTTCTCTTTAGGTCCATTTCATTCGTCCCTTCTGGTAGACACTGAATGTGCTATCTCAATGATCTTGGCAGCTGCTTGCACCAAGTCACAGCAGGGAGCCAAAGAAGGAACATTCGAGTTACAAGAAGCTGAAGAAGGGCATGGATCAAAAAATTTACAGACTGCGACAGGGATAACAAATCAATGATAATGGTATATATCACGTCACAAAGAGAATACTGGCACAACACTAGTACTTGAGTACAGCAAGCACTTATAGTATGATGGAGGAATATGATTCTATCGACATTCTTGAGGAAATCTTACATTGAGCATTCCAGGAGATTTGATGCTTTCCAACAAGCTGAACATGGTATTATTGTACAACAAATGAAAGGAAAGTCAGTCCATAATGGTATGCATGACCAGCAGCCACATTTCAAATGTCAGATTTGCCCCCCTTGTAAATGCCTCCACCAACTTAATGCCAGTGCTAATTCCTTTGCTATCGCCATTCTTATAGGACCAGAATCCTGGCAAATCCAGTTGTGCATGTTCTGAAGTTCACTAGATGCCTAGCCAAATATTCCTCTGCATATGTGCCCAATGCTATGAGGTTGGAGGTGATGGAGTGCCTAGTAATCCTGATGGCAAAAAACTGCCTGTCATGATGAAGCATGTGCATTGATTGCAAGCTACCAACATTGCTTCTTCACCCTGTGAAGCTTCTCGTTCGTGTCGCACTCTGGATAATACACAGTAAGCATCATCATAGCTGACATCACTACACTTTGAGCTCTCTAACTTCATTGTTTCTTAGACATATTGCTCATGTTTGTACTGTCAAGCTCACCACCATCAATCTCCACAATCATCCAACATCATAAACATAGTAAAAATGATGGTGGTGAGGCAGCAGCTTTTAACTTTGGGGAAACTTGGTATCAGGATGACTACAAGGGAGGGGGACGTATGAGACTATATTTCTTCCACCCAGATTGCTTACTGAGATATCTAATTCAAATTGTGTCTCAATGCTTTCAACTTGTCCAGTATGGCCTCTTACCAGGCCAGCTTGGCCTCTTGCAATGCTAGTTATGCTTGTTGCTGAGCCAGCTTGGCTTTTTGCCTATCCAGCTGAGCTTGTTTCTAGGCCACTTTAGCCTGTGTCTAGGCCAATTCAATCTGTTTCTTCTCAACCCTGTTATCCATGTACAGGATGGTCTCCTTCAAGCTCTCCTCCAAATATTGTTTGTTCTTCAGGTGCTCCAGATTGAGATTGGACTGTGCATAAACTTGTGCACAGGTTCCACAGCAGACCACTGATGGTGGTACCTTTGTAATCAGTCACTGTCTCGGCTTCCTCTTCTAATGCTTGTGAGAGCTTGTCTTGGCTGTACTAAATAGAATCACACACATTTTTTGGTTGTTGCTTGTGTGTGGATGCAGTGATCCTTATGTGACAAGTCCATGGGGTTCTTGTTATGGTATTTCACCTCAGATAGTAGGGGTTGATGCTCAGTGTGTATCTTAAGAAGACTGTCAATGTGCAAGGTATTAGTTAAGAAAATAGTAGTGGGTTGCTAGTTTCGACCTTGCATATTGTGGACATCATAGGTTAATGAACTCCACCGACAATGTCCATGTCAGCCCAACAGCATACTTTAATTTACTTATTAACTAAGATATCCATAACCTGGATGAGTGCAGCCCCGATATTTGGAACAGAATGGACATTGCAAATGATTATTTACATTATAACACTGTCTGCATGTATTTTACAATATAGGAGAATATAGGAGCAAGCTTGGACAACTGAAAAATGAATGGTGAGTCAGATCCCAGCACAGTACAAACTACTGAGTGGCCATAGCTTGGGATCTCAAGAGTGTTGAACAAAGACAAGTGCTTGGACACTACATTGGAGGTAGTTACGGGATTGCAGCAGTCTTCACTTCAATCCACTGGAACAGGATTTTTGCAGAGCCAAGAGTGTCAGACAACAAAGAGGAAGTTACAGGCACCTCTGAGCAGTACACACTGCTTGGTAGGAAGTGGTTCCAGAGCAAAGATGTACATGACTGTACATACAACCATACCATGTGAATGAGGGGAAGGAAGGACTTGGTACATTCAAAGCGATGAAATCAGGAGAGAAAGGCGGGAACACAACCATACAAACACTGCTAAGATATTAATGTAAACAGTCAAACAATAATGTCATAGGCTGACTCACTATGCTAAGCTCCTACCTAGCAAACCAAAGGAATGAGAGCACTTGTGATCAATCTGCTTTGAGAAGTCAAACAATTAGTTGATCCAGTGCGTGAAGGCTAGACTTTGCAAAGTTAATATACCCAAAGCCGATTCAAAGGCCAACTTACCAGTTCATGCTCCTACCAACAAAATGAGAGCACTTCCAGGTGTTATTATTACATTCTCTCAGATTGACGACTGTCCAGAGCTGGTCCAATCCAGGTTTCTTTATGAACAACATGGGTATGGTATTTCCCACGCTCGTCATCTGCCATCTCCCAGACGCAAGGTGCCCACCCATGATAGAACATGTATCTTGGATGTAATAAATGGCAGGCAACAGAAACTTGAATGAACTATTTAGCCAGTCTTTTCCTTCAGCATTACTGTCAACACTACCATCCCTGGACCAGACTTGTGTTTTGAAGTTGGATTGTTTGAAGTGGCAAGGTCTGCTGCAAAGAGGAGTATCCAGAGAATCCATGGAGACCGCATTTTTATATCTTTTGGGCTGAATTTACCGCACATTGATCATTGTTGGATCAATGATCGAGCACACAATTTGACAGCAGTCGCATGTAAGTAAACCAAAGTCTTATGGAGATTGAGATTGACTTGGCATTGCAAAGTTCCAAGAACTATGGTGGTGGCAGTGAAGTGTACTGATGGAAAACGGACCAAATGGAGGGACTGTGTCATGATCTAAATCAGCTTTTGTTATGTGAGCAAATATGGGTCAGCCAGCAATTGTTGTATCTCTACAATGGGTAAGTCAAATTCAATTACAGACTGCCATTGCTCTGCCTTGAGCTTACCATGCTCTGCTTCCCCCAGATTCTTTAGCGGTCTGCAGTGCCATGAAGGTTGTTTGGAGCGAGATATATTTCTCATGAGGGGGCAATGTGGCCACATATAGAATTATGACCTCTCTATCAGTGAAAAGTGTGTGCCAACATCTTTAGGGCACGTCTGTGCAACTTATATTTCATTGAACTGAATTGGCGACTTTTGATAGTATATATCAATCCACAACAGCATGGTGACTTTAGCCAGCAATGCAAGGAGTTTCCTGTAGATCAGTGCTTCACCCCGTTGTCTGTCATTGCATGCAGGGTGTCTGAGGTGCAAGCAGAGCAGTGTAATAACTCAATTTCCAATAATCCCTTTGGTGTATATGCACATGTGAATCACCAATCAAATAACAAAACCCTGACACTCTTTTCTACGTCCAATCTCATCCTCCCATATTCTCACTTCTTCCTTTCCTCCTCCTCCTCCTTGTCATCCCCAATGTCCATACCGCTCATTGTCATCGGATGGCATGCACCGAACATTGCTCCAAAGCCCACTTACTTACCCTTCACCTTATTCAAATCCAGCTCACCCGTTAGTTCAAGCAAAAAGGTGTTTTTAGTGCAGCCCATGGTTCGTTCGTCAGGGTTTCACCCTGAATCCATTCTGGAAGAAGATAAACATGGACACATCTGTTGACACCAATGTGACCATATCAAAGTTTGGAGGCAATTTGCAAATCTGGGTGATGAGTGCCTGTTACGAGAGATTGAAGATAAAACACACAAGATGGTGGGGTTCAAGTACTGGTAATATACCAGCCTGCCAATTTGTGCACCATGAATCGCATGCTGTAGGGCATCCTGTGAGTCGACTCAAATATGGATACGGCAAAGACTTCAATCTGCCAATGAAGTTTTTGGAGATCTGTAAATATATCAAAATAAGCTCCAACACTTCGAGAAGAAATAAACATGTGCGTCTGATGTACTTGGCCCTAGTATCAGAATCTTTCAAAGCCTCATAGAACAGAACATCTTTGGGCTTCATGCTTGTGAATCCAGATCACATTTGCTCCACATTTATGTGTGATTGGTGGATATAGACAAGGTGCATCATCATACAAGAAGCACAAGAATACTTACCATAGTAGGGTCAGGTTCTATGTCAAGATCGACAGTGTCCAGGAGCTCACAGATGACACCCTGCAGCATTTTGTGGATGTATGTGATCTGTCGTGGGTGGACATACTGCATCGCTATGTTAATATACATTGGATGTCCACATACAACATTCGAAATTGACGGTGCAGCCAGGATTTCCTTGTGGATCGAAAGCTAAAATAGTAGTTTCAATAACCAGACATCATAAACTGTGGGATGCGCACCTGGAATAACTTCAAGAAGATATAATCCTCCCTTTGGTCCTGACCATACCCAAATAACGTAAGCACAACCTGCTCTGCCAACCGCCTGTGCTTCTTCACTGTCTCGTCAGAAAGCTGAACAAAGAGCTCCCAGACTATGGGATCTTGAAGGATTTGAGGTTGGTAAGTCTTTGTAAACTCTAACTTCATGATGATCACCTGTATTGATGGCTCTATTGATCATTCCTTGTCCTTCTGGATGGTTAGACATCGCCAATCCCATCCTATGGAAATAAATGCAGGCATCCCAACCTTATTCATCAATGATACTGGTACATCGATGTCCCCTTTCTCTATATATTTAGAGACCATCTCCCACAGCACTGTCGCACTCTGCTTGGTCAACTTGGGCATAGCTGCCCATTTGTCCTTGATGTTTGTGTTGGTAGGTTGTGTCACCATCTTGGCTTGCATTAGGATTGTGGACATCAGGCTCTAGATACGAGATTGCTGCATGGTAGACTATTATTCTCTAGCTGCTCACATCTGATCTTCATTGACTTTCAAATAGTCGACATCCATCCCAGTACGAGCAATAGTGCATCCACAGTGCTTAGGGTGTTTTTGAATGCTGTCCCTATCTATGGCACACCTTCAAGAATACGAGGAGATAGAGGTGGGGAAAACAAAAAAGTCTTGGTTTATATGATCATGACTAGAGGGCCCAACCATGCAAGCTTTATGTGGGGGTTGTAAGTTGGCACCCAATTTGCTCGCATGTGGCGTGCATTTTTCTATTGACTCAAGAGGCTTCATGACCTAGATGTGTCCGATGCTCAGCATCTTTAGTTACATGAGCTTTTCCTTGAGGAGATTGAGTCTGACTGTCATACATTTTGAGCTGAATGGAATGCACACCCTATCTCAGGAGAGAGACATGATCAGAGCCCAAATGTATGTTGTCCAATATCTTAGACATGATCAGCTGCAGCTTATTGCTGCTGATCACAATGCCCATTTCTATCATAAGCCTGTTCACGTTCCAAAGCATGCCAGTCCATTCAACTCTGCTACTCTTCACAACACCTTTCTGTTAAGATGGGAGTGAAGTGGGCCGCTTCTAGAGGCTACTGAGAGATCAGAAGAGATCAGACTAGAGTCCAGAGTAAGTTGCCAATCTATTGAATGGTATAGTGAAGTTGTACTGTACCTAGAGTCCAGAGTAATGATACCGTAAGTGTAATGGCAAGGTTAGACACATAAAAGACATAGAAATGCGTACTGTAGAGGTGAATAATCATATAACTAACACTTTCATCAAGCTTTTACTCAAGTATGAGAGGCAGGGCACATCCCAGAAGGATTTAGTGTTCTTCCACATGAATGGGATGATGATGAGTATCCCTCACATGAAATAATTTGGTCAGGACAACAGGGGACCAAGGAATTACGAATCCCCTTGCCTGATTTTATTTGGCGACCTAGGGCAATAAAATGGTGTCAAGCACTTGATGTTATGTTCAGGCTTTTGGAGCTTGCCGATACCGATGTTGGATCTAGTAGTGACACAGATAGTAATACCAATAGTGCTGGACATCACAATGGCTCTGATAGCTAGCTACAATTATAGTACATAGACTCTCGATATATGCGAAAGCAGACTGGCTTGAAGTCAATGATATTAAGTTTGAAGTGACCATGCAATTATACAGCATGTACAGCCACAGATCATGTGATGAGTAATGTGGTTGAATTTGACTACAACTGAGCACTTTCATACTACAACAATCTACAGCACACTTAAAAATCACTACTGTCTCTTCTGTCACCAATCACTCCTTTATCTTTCTGCTACCTTTTTAATTTTTCATATGGCTCCCAAGCGCAAACGACAGGCCAGCAGCCAAATGGACAATGTTAGAAAGTCAACCTCGACACTAGCAGTCAATTCCATCTTGCAAGAATTGCTCGGTAATTCAGCTGGATCATCAACTGCCTATAGAAAGGCCAATAACGAGGCCAATCAAGGCTTAAAGTCTGCTTCTCAATCTCACAGTAGGCCGAAGGCTCAGATGGTCTCTAAAGTAAGTGTCAGCATTTTTTAAAATGAGTTGTTGCTCAGGCAAGTGACTGGGAATGTTTGTTTATTAGTCAAAGCCAGCTTGCCTTCCTAACTTCCACTTTAAAGCTGGTGAAATCATTTTCATTCCCTGTGGAACAAAATAGGTGGGCTGTTGATATTGTAACTGTAATTGGCTGGGATTGCTGACTACTTTTTAGTCTAAGAAGACCTTACATTCATATATATCACTTCTGACACCTGTTCTTTGCAATCCCCAAACACCAACTTTTGTGGAGGTCCAGACTCTTGAGGTCATGAGACTGGCAATCACAGATTATGTCGATGTATCATCATTAGCAAGAACTGGTCTTTTGAGCTCTTTGACCTAGAGCTTCGCAAATCTTTCCCTCGACTCTCTTCCTTTATCTCAATGCCTTGCCGAAGTTGACGAATCCAGACTACAAGGAGGACCAAGACGAGATCTTTCAGCATCTCCCTCAATACTATCTTTGTGTTAAAGAGAAGCGCAGGATCGTAATTTCTCCTGGTATTCAATTTCCTGATGGGTCATCAGTGGCATGAAATGCAAAGATGAATACGAGAGGTGGATTTTGTGAAAATGTGGTCATTCTAGGTCAGTCCTCAGTTTGTTCGCTTTACACAGACTATGCCAATTCCTGCTTTCTTAGTCACTCACCAAAGCATCCCACTGTCAGTGTTGCAAGGGTGGGCGAAATCAAAAGGGAAGGAGAAGGCCACTCTTTCATCTAGCTCGGCATACCATGATTGTACTGGGTCTGAGAGTATATCCAGTGACTCAGAAGACAGCTCCACCTCATCTGAGTCGAGCTTATCAGAGCCTCCTCGCAAGACCAAATATCAATGAGGTATGGTGTATTGTTTTTTCTGTTGATTGCGAGCGAGGCTCATATTAAACTTTTGTGATCAATATGAACAGAAACTGATGACGAGATTATGCCTGCATCAGACTCTGAGACCATATCTGAGTCAGCCACTATGGTTGACTTGACTGCAAGTGATGACAAATACACTGGTCACTTCTTTGGTTCTTTCAGTGTAGATAATCATGATGTTGTTACCAAGCCAGAGGCCACTGTTGAGGCTGACCTCATCCCTTTAGAGCCTGTGGAGCCTGTCTCGTCCCATTGCAGGTCTCTGGGTCTTTTGTTATTGATCCCAGTCCTAATAATCTCCCAACCTTGCAGGCCTCTGGGTCTTTTGTTCTCGATCCCAGCATTGACAACCCATGGCAAGGGAATCATATTCTTGATTTCTAGTCCTTTTTGCACCTATATCATTCAACTTGAAATATACCTATCACCGATTAGCAGTACTGATTATATTCTTTTATACCAACTTTATTATATCTGTTTATATTCTGGTAATCATACATAGTGACTATCTCTTACTACAATGCTTTTAATTGACATGTTTCATGTAAGCCTGGGTGGAAATAAGCATGATGATGATAAAATACACTTAGTCAAATATTGGAATCACACTTTTAATGTTGGGGCAACACATGTTGCAATTTTCGGGGCAACACAATTTCCTTTTTTGGTTGTCACACAATTTCAGTTTCGGAGGGCACAATTTATTTCGGGGGGGACACAATAATATTTGTGCAGATTCAGCAGCATATGAACAGGTGTGCTTGCACACTTGGAAGCACCTACCTGTTCCAAACAAGGAAGATCCTGCCATGCCATGCGATCATACCATTATTCCTCACTGCCTGCACATTCGCTGTAAATGTGAAACTTCTGGAGCATGCATACAACCGCAGTCATTTAGCCTGCTGCAAAATGAGAGGCTGTGGGGTTCATGTTGTGCTGAGTGAGGGAGTTAACAACAAAGGAGTGTTAGTTATATGATCATTCACCTCTACAGTATGCATTTCTATGTCTTTTATGTGTCTAACCTTGCCATTACACTTACGGTATCATTCCTTACACTTTGCTACCTATTTCCATGACTTCCTGATCTCCCTAGGTCGAGTTATTACTTACCCTTTGATTGTGGCTTGTCTGTTTACATTTGTTTACCATATGTCACCCATATCTCAGAGTCTAGTGCTTCCTGCCTCTTTGGCAACTTACTCTGGACTCTAGATACTGTACAACTTCACTATACTATTCAATAGATCGGCAACTTACTCTGGACTCTAGTCTGATCTCTTCTAGTTTCTCAGTAGCCTCTAGAAGTGGCCCACTTCACTCCCATCTCAATAGGTTATGAGCCCTGTTGACGGATGTGACCTTAGAAATAGGCACAACTTCCGCTGAAACCCAAAAATGGCATCTTGTAATCCCTGTGTGGATTAAGGGGATGTGTTGGAATATGATGTAATCCACACATTGGATGCAGTGAGAGAAACTGGAACGGCTGGATAGTCTAGTGGTTAAGATGTTCCTCCAGAGTTGGGAAGGCCTGGGTTCAAATCCTGGTCCTACCATGATTTTGGAGTTCAATAGTATTAGCTTTATCCAACCATGATAAAGATGAAACCCTACCTGAAGCAGCTCTTCAAAATTGTGCGCTACCATTCATTTCATCTCTGAAGAGTTGGTGTTACACACTCAAATAGATCTGTTACATGAGGTCCTAAGAGGGGTGTCACTCATAAATGTTCATGATGTAGCTGGAAGGATCCAGTGTAGCAAGTGATACTGGTGACAAACATCAGTGGAGATCACACACACATGTGTTATGTGACTTCAAGGACTTCAGAAATGGCTGTCTGAGAAGTGAAGTTACCAGGCTCAAAGTAAGGACAGTCTTGTCCAAACAATGAGTGTCAATCAAGGTAGACTTAGCTGTGAAGAGCAGCTAAGAAAAGACACTAGAGACTGAAGCTGAAGGGGCTTTAGAGAGAAGTATGTTCCAGGGAAGATTGAGTAGATTCAAGTTAGAGAATCTAGTATAGGGTGACCGACTACTTATACTAAGTGGGAGAGGTTAAGGCTGGGTTACCGTACTGTAGGTAAGAGTAAAGGGGAGACTGGATGGAGTATAGGCATGCTGGAAACAGAGCCTGATTAGTGATGTATGGTTGAATGTGGAGTGAGAGTGAGAAACATTCGAAGGATTCAATTGGTAAGAATAGGAACATGTGTACACATGCATAGGGGAGAAGGATATGAGGGACAGAAACGGTCCTGAGTATCTGGTCAACAAATATCCAGTAAAGGAGGATGAGTTGGTGGATGGTGAGGGTGAGGGTGAGGATGAAAGGAAAATGATAGGGAGGCCATGTGACCAATGATACTTGTAACAATTACTGCTTTACCTGCTTGTATCTACAGCATGAAATCAGTGTCAATGCTGATTTTCACAATGGTGAAGTTCAATACCTTTCACTCACAAAAACTAACCATGTACTGTGAAATGGTGACTGAAAGTGACGGATTTCTAATGAATTTCCCTAGCATGGCTGTGTGCTCCAACCACAGCTGTGTTCTAAGCTGGTAGTCTCTGCCAAATGTGTGGCTTATTGCAGCATGAATCTTCTGTGCCAGGTAATGATGCAATTCTTCAGGACCACATAGTAGTATGGATAGATCTCTATTCCTCTCCCTACCATTGGCTCGACAACCAATAACCACTGATTACCATGTATCTTGGTTCTTGAAGCACTAATCCAAGCTTCAAGTCTCTGGAGTTGTTCATCTGAACAAGTCTGCAAGTTGGTTTCAGTGTATGTCCTCTAAGTCCCAAATATGGAGAACATATCGATCATATTGGAAACAGATGGTAGGCATTGGTCATGGAAGAAGCATCTTAGAGGATTGTTGGGACCTGGCCGGCATCTGCAAGACCTTTGTTAGCATTGGTGATTCTCTCGTTCACAAATTTCGGGTCAAGATGTTCGGTCTAAGTATAGACATTAGCACATTGTCAAAAGAGATGGATGAGAATATTCTGAACTTCATTAGTAGAACTTCCTTCTATAATCTCTGAGTTGGAAGGCTGCTCAAAATTTTGTTCGAGAGTGGGAGGGGTGAGATCCTGCAGAAGCGATGAGTACCAATCATGGCACAAGGGACACATTCAGAGTTTAGATTACACTTACCTTAGTTGACCAAACAGGTTGGGTGTCCTGCAGGCTGGAACTTGCAGCTGTGCATTCAGGGTTTGGGGATTGTCAAGCACTTCAAGCGAAGCACTTGGACACTTTACCAAAGATCTTGAAAACTGACCCTGAACATCTTTCATGAGACCCATTCCTCAAAGGCGAGAGAGACGACAGCTGTAACGATTAGATATAATGTAAATGATAATATGAAAGTTTATACATCCAGACTGGCTGTCGTCCTGCCTCTCTCCTCCACCAAATGAGGGTTTGAATGACTTGGCTCCATTCACCCCCAGTGTTTCTTCCAAAATGGATTGTTTTCATCCATCTAGTAAGTGAGAAAAATAGGTAGATGGATATGCGTGTTTTGGTGGAATGGAAGTAGGAAGTGTGGTGGGTGGACTGGCGTCTACATGTTTACAATAAGTATTACTATCAATTATGAATGTGCGGTTGGAAGGGCCCATTAAGCCTGAACTATTATAGAATGAAATCATACCTCCAGGGTCAGATTCCTCATTAAAGTGTCTGATCCATTCCTCACAATAATTTGTAAGATGACAATTGTATTCTAATGTCACATGCCAGCTCTATGGGACAAGAAGTTGCAGAAATGCAATGATCAAGTGATACAGGCAGTGAAACATGATTTGAACCTTGAGGCTTGTAGTTTGGATTCCCAAATTTTCGTGGTCTCATCTTCATCTTTCAACCAGCTCCTGAATAAGGAAAATGAGATTATTAGCATCGTCCATAATGCATATAAAATCACATTCTGTTGCAAACCTGTCTGCTCAACACTAATTGCACAACCCAAGGGAGACCGCACACCACAAATTCTTGGAGAAATATGCTATTCTTGAAGATAGAAAGAATCAACTCATGGCCGCTATGGCTAAATCGTACATGCAGCTCACAGTCTGCCATTCTCTACAAATAGCATATTCTCTACACTAATTACATCTCTCTTCAGCGGCTAGCTATAAAACACCACCATGAAACCATCTTGCTCACACCTTTCATGTGGAGCCTGACCTCATTGGCGAATGACCCAAAGTTCAATGGTCCAGTGAAAAACGAGCCTCCACTAAAACACAATCAGATCTATAAACAGCAGCAAGGACGAACCTTGTCCCCATGTTTATGTCGCAGAAGTCAATCGACAATTTTGCATTGTAAGGTAAAATGGGAATCAGTGAGCCTGCCATTTATTACATCCAAGGTACGTGTTCTATCATGGGTGGCCCTGCTGGGTTGAAGTGGAATGACCCTCAGTATGTTTTGATTTGCTGACATTGGCACAGTTCTGATTTTTTTGTACATTGTGACCAGGACAAATGAAAACCTCCGAAGTGGTGAAATGCTGGTTCCTGGGGATCAATGGCCTATCTTTCTGTACGCTCGTATCCTGAAGTGGCCTCAGCGTGGCCCAACCTCCCTGCAGGCGCAAGTGCAGTGTGCTAGCTCTGCCCTGTTATGCTTTTCGCCCCCCGGCACACCAAAGGAAGTTGCATGGCAAAGCGGGCGGAGCTCTGAGGTGCGGCGCAGCAGCCAAAGTGCTAACTGCAGGGCAAAAACAACAAGTTTGCGAATAACAATGCTGAAACAATCAGAATATACTGGACCACCCCTCTGGAGTCTGTTGAATCGTAAACTGAGACACTGGGTGTAGTCCATCCCTGCTGACTACCGATCTTGTTGCCTGCTTTGATGGACCTGGGGCCTGATACAAACTGGAGGCGTGATGACAGGCGATGAGAGAAAACACCAACCTCATCTGCGGCCTTCTCCATTTCCAAGGATTTTGAAATTTTTCTGTCACGGTCAGGTAACCGATATGGCACGGTTAGAGTACTTACCAATCACCTTGCCGGTCTTGTCGACCTTTCAGGAGGGATCGTCCGCTTCACTCGCTGCACTGTGAGGTCCTTCTCATCTTCAAATTCTTCAATATCGGGATCGCTGTTCACTAATGTTTCGAATCCTTATTTTCCTTATTTGCTCCTTATTTGCCTTAATTCACACAATAAGGTCACACAAAAATAAGGAGAATAAGGAGATCCATTTCCTTAAAATAAGGCACTTTCCTTGAAATAAGGAACTTTTCTTTAAACTAAGGCAGATAAGGAGATCAAAAAATAGTATTATTGACTACTAAGTACACTAAGGCGAATACCTGAAATGATTAAAAAAATGTGTCTGAAAACACATGATGATGGTGGGAGCAAGAACCAATTAATGAGTTGAGGGGGGGAGGAATAAGCACATACTGTGAATGGTGGGCAACGACTTTGATCAGCATGGCTCGAGCTCAAAGCTGGATCAACACAGCAGTGTGTACCGAATTGACATGACTCAGGCCAGTGCTAGGACCTGGTGCACCAGTCATTTGCACGACAGGGACTGTTGGGGGAGCTGGCGCATCTTGCACTGGCACTGGCTGAGGATAGGCAGGAGCCTGAGCTTGTGGCAGTGGGGGCTGGGCTATGACAGGCTGTTGGTATTAAGGACCATATGCACCATACTGGGGTTGAGTTCCTGGAGCAGACACCTAACATACTAGATTATTATGGTGTGTTCAAGGTAGGGAAAAGTTACTCACCCACAGCACCACAGGATCATCATGAACACTACAAAGACTTGGAGGAGCTGGTTCATCAACTGCAAGATCTTTGACCTCAGATGCACAGAAAATTATGTATTGATATGGTTCTTGGATGGGAGGAATGAATTCTGAGGGTGGCCTGACATGAGTTTGATGTCAGATTACGCGTTGTGAGGAGAAGACGAGGCAGAAACTGGCAGTGTCAGAACAAGGACAATGGCTCACCTTTTCGACTCTGTATCCATAGAACACACTACTCACATCCTGTGAACGGCGGGAAACAACTTGGATTAGCATGGCCTGAGCTTGAAGCAGGAGCAGGATCGACACACTCACAGGCTGCGAATGGCAGGAAATGACTTCAAGGATTGGGACACTCATGTCCTGCAAACGATGGGCAACGACTCTGATCAGCATGGCTCTTGCTCGAACGAGGACCGACACACTCACATCCTGCGAATGGTGGGTGACGACACTGATCAGCATAGCTCTTGCTTGAAGGGAGAATTTAATGAGATTTTCAGAGGATGAGATAGAGACCTTGGTGGACATAGACAGTATAATTTGGATGACAAAGGTGTTCTGATGCAAATCACACATATGTCAACATCACTATACCGCAGTCAGAAGAGGATGCCAATAGTCCTAGTGGAAGAACGGAATGGTTGTCCAAAAGATTTCCCATGTCTGCGATCCCTCATACCTGCATTGGGCACATATCATCTGCTTCCTCGACTCTCAATCTTTATATCACCTTCCCTAGAATGATACACCAACATCTGGTCAATGGTCGTAGAATCACGCTGATGCCAAAGGAGGTCTTGGATATCTTTTGGGATTGAGTGCTGCTGCCATCCATAGGAGACTGCACCGATGTCAGCTGGGTGCCTTACCTTAAGTACACTTTGGAGGAGGCAAGATACAAGGCAAGAGGTAGTAGAGATGGATGGAAAGGTGGATGGGGACCTCCTAAGATGATACCCCTCTTGGATGATGACTTCTGAGATGTGCAGGACCGCATGGAAGCTCACATACACAATGGAGAGGGAGAGCTTAGTATGTATGGATCATTGTTCTTTATTCTGTAACAAAGGATGGACAAAGAGGTCATTTCACAGGACCAGAGGAGGCACTGCGTCTCAATCTGTCCTACCTTGACTGGTCATATATGATGGACAAAAAGCATGGGGAGCTTTTGGTGGATGTGGGCATATCATTCACACCTCGCTCTCCAGATGTTCCCATCGTCAGGGTGTGGAGATTAGATGCGTTGGAGGCATCATTTGGTGCAGGAGGCTACAAGTGAGGCGAGATACATCACCACAACATGCTATCCAGATATGGTGCACTGGAGGCAGAAATGCAACAGGAAAGGTCGCAGCAGATGCACATAGCATTCAGGAGCACCTACAATCTATACTACGAGTCTATCCGCATGAACAACAACCAAGCAAACTTTGCTTCTGACAGTGATGTTTACAAGCTCCGCTAGTTAATAACTCCCCAAGAGCCACCTGGCTAAAAAGCAGGCTAAGTTAATTTTTTATCCTGAACCCTATTGAGCAGGGCCTCAGTAAGTGTCCATAATGTGCTTAGGGATCCAAATATTCAAACTCCTTCAGGTGTTTGTGGTGTGTGAACATCCTGTGATCAAAAATGTTTAAATAGTCGCTGAGCTTGGCATTTTTCAAAATTCACCCTTCGCTGTAGTTCCTTTATGGGAGAAAATGGGCCGTTGGCTCTGGCGTCGAGTGACTCACGACCTGGTAAATATGTCGTTGACATTCTGCTGTGAGTCCTTTTCCTCTGTCTTCAGATCCATTTGCCCACCTTCCGTGCTACACCTTTTTGTCGTTTTTCAAGTGTGGTACGATGATCGTGCATCAGTACAATCTCACCATCTTTGGTGTTGAACTTCATGATGCACACAACAGGACCAAATATCTCTTCTCTGACAATCTTCATGTCAGGCTGGCACTCCATGAAAATGGTTGGCTTGATAAAGTATCCCTCTCGGTGAATCTGCTTGCCACCAAGGTGTAAGGTAGCACCATCGTTCTTGCCTGAGGTTATGTATCCCATGATGCGCTTTATGGACGTCAAAGTATGTTTTATGATGAGAGTAGATGCATAAACCTCAAATTAAGTCTTAGACACCTGTGGCCCTTGGTACGTGTCAGGTGAAAAAGGATCACCAACCTTGATCGCATGTGCCTGCTCTGTGAACTGGTCCAAGAACTTTCCATATATGCTCTCTTGAACAAAGATACGAGAACCTGCAGAACAGTTCTGGCCATGGTTAAAGCTACAATGACGATGAAAACTAGGATAATACTAGCTTTGCATGAGTGGCAGATTTTCAAGTCACATATTTGTGTTCCAACATCATCTAGAACACTCATTGATTGTGCACACTATTTGGGCTACTTCGAATCAATTATGAAGTCTATCAGTATGACATTGCTACTAACATTTGCTTGAATGCACTTCTAGACAGAAAAAGAGAGCGAGCTTGCTAGGATGGAACAACAATTTGCCAGGCATCATAGGGCATGGGCGATGATATAGAAATAGATAGTAACCCCCCTTTGTGGAGAGACACAGGACAGCCATCTGCACCGTCCGCAAAACGGTTGTCAGGTACCCCCATGCCTTGATGCGATTAGAAGGATAAAGAGAACTCGCGGAGTATCGCGCAGGACTCGCCTTGTATCAGTAGTACCGGAGGTAAGGGCCTGATGCCATTGGCTGTGATATAAAATTTGATGATAGTAGGTGGACAGCGAGTTTGATACTAAGAACAGGTTCAAAACCCCCTGGAACAGAAAAATCATCGATCTGCTACTTGGAGAATTATGAAGAAGGGGCAATGAAGAGAGGTAGCCAGTCAGCCAGTCAGAGGCATGTTTCAGGGAAATTGTTTCAGAGAAATTCTTCAAGATCGCTACAAGCAACTGCATATGGTCTGGACGGGTGTCCAGCCTAACGTCACAGAAAAGGGTGTGCTGGAGACTTCTGCAGAGGTGGAGGTGAGGTTAATCGTGAAGAAGGACGAAATATTGAAGGTGACTCGTCAAATGACATCACCGAAATGTATGCTTGCAGTATCCAGACAGTTCTAGCACTGATACTTTCTCAGAAATATCTCTGTGGAGTGACAGTTCTCAATCATCTCGTCAAGCAGAAGACCAATGACAAAGAAGAGGATTTCCTAGCATGGCAGTGGCTTCAGAAACTAGTGAAGACACTGGGGGAATGCAGCATGAGTTCAGAGGAGAGCAATTTAGAAAATGATATTGAAACAGTCCTTTGCATCAAGAACATGATATGGCGCTGTGCGATAGGACGCGAATTGGATATTGTTGATCACCAGAGACTTGTGGATGATGACATATCCGCCCCCCAAGGCTTAAAGTCAATGAAAGAATACGCACAGCTGGAAATCCAACGACTTCCAGGTTACTGGTGTAGCGGTTGGGTTTGGCAGGGACAGGTGCCAGGGGTCCTGTAGAGGTGTTCGAGGTCTTAGATAGTCATATATAGCATGTCTTAGGGTTAGGTTCTATACATCCTTTCCTCCAGCTTTTGCTGTGTGTTTGCTTGAGCCTTGTCTGAGGCTTTACTTTGCTTTGGCTTTGGCCATTTGCTGCCTCGGGTCTTTGCTTTTGAGGCTCTTGCTGCAGTTCTCGTCTTGTTCTCGTGTCTCAAAGGTTTTAGCCTCATGTCTGCTGTTCTCTCACTGGTGTCAGAGTGCACTGTTCCACCGGTCAATGGATTGCCTAAAACCTTGCATAGTGAAGAATGGCTCATGGGCCTGAACAAACATCAAGTCGGGAAGTTATCGATCTCGGACAAGATATTTAAATGGATGCAGGTTGCGGCAGTGTAGTGTAGTAGTAGTAGTAGTAGTAGTGTATGTGTCTAGTGTTGGTGTATATGTGTAGTGTATATGACATTTGACTGTGTAGATGTCAGGGGGGGGAGCACTGCTAGTGTGGAGCGGGGGCCGTGTGCATTATGTGCATGTCAAAGGTGGAATGATTGTGTTATGAGTGTGATTTCGGCAAGACTGAGTGTGTGTGTGTGTGTGTGTGTGTGTGTGTAGAATAACATTGTACATACAAGGGCATGAGGACGGAGCATAATAAAGTAAAGAATTAGTACTTACCAAAATAGATTGGTTGATGGGCTGGAGAAGGGAGCCACGAGCAGTATAGAAAGCTCTGTGATAGCAGTGGGCTCGGGTTAAGGACAAGTTGGTCAATTGTGAGATTATTGACCTCCATGATGACCACGTTGTTGTGGCGCTCTCGTCATGAAATTATAACATGCTGCAGAAACATTTTGCATCATCTTGATTGTGCCAGGGTTAAATTTGAGAGAGCACTTCCATTGAGTGGAGGTCATTGGACCATTGGCATTATTGGTCCATGAAAGTCGCTTGCGAGAGACTCCTTCTCAGCCAGATGCAGAAGGACCTACCCTCGAAGTTGACGTTATTGATGATGTTGAACTTACAAAGAAAGCTGATGTTGGAACTTCAGAATCTAGCAGAAATCCTGAAACACATATTTGTGCAATTGCTTCAAACCTAACAAGAGGGATTAGGCTGAGGAGATGGCGACCAATATGAAACCTACATGAATAGGATGAACAACCCAAAAAACATAATCCTCCCAAGCAAAAAAGAAACCCTTAAGTGAGATCGGCATAGACTGATCCAAGGGAAGAAGGACTGGTATGCGAATTGAATTGCATTTTTGCAACTCAACTATTTGTTATACCAGGCAGCACATGACCACAATTGTGTTACCTCCTTATATTATACCTCCCCACATAGTTCCCACACTCCGCATTTTCGCATTTTTAGCCACCTACTGCAGGAATTACACCACTACTCCCAAAACATTCATCTATTTTGGGAATCTCCACAATATCCATTATTCCCACACCCTTCCCACGTTATTCTAGCTTCACCACTACACCACAATTGGTCCCTGTTCTTATATAAGTAGTAGTTTAGTATATATGTGTATAATATCATATAATACACCACTTTTTCATCTATTTGTGTGCCTGCTTCTTCTCTAGAGGTCATTTAACATATGGTAGGGTAAAGAATACTTTTACATTTTTGTACCTTTGGTAAGGAAGGTTCTATTATATTCAAAACATGTTTATGAGCACATATGAATAGATTCCCATCTTTATTTGACCCCCTGAAGTGCCCTACATCAATAGATATAGCACATATGCAAAAAACACAGAATATGTTCCTATTTAGTTATTTCTAGGTGGACAAAATTGGAAAAATGATTCCCAGCATCTATTCAACAATTGAAATAATGTATCAGAAGCCCAGGAGGATAGGATAATCTTCTATTGCATGATGTGTCTATCTTCTTCTGGTGGTTCATCTACTGTGAAATTTTTTCCCATAGGACTGGACCTCAATTGAGATGAGGGGTCTATTTCTATGTATATTTGGAGTAGATCTGTCATATAGTTGGCCCAGAACACACATAGGATCCTGCTACAAGAACAAAAATATAGAAAATCCCTCTTTAACATTTTGGCTGTTTTTCAGTATCTTAATCTTGCATAAATAATACAGCCTGTTTATATATCATTATCATAGCATGTATACTTGCTTTGTATGACAAGGATCAGCTTAAAATAGGCCAGAGTTTTGAGCTAGTGTGGATACTCGCTATTTTTACTGATAAGGAGCCCATACTTTCAAAATATCAAAATTTAAAAGAAATAAGTGCTGAGGAAGTGAAATAGATAAGAAATTGAGTGTGGGAAAGTTCAAAGACCCAAAACATCGAAAATAGTCAGTTAAGCAGTAGTAGGACTTTAATGCTAGGTAAACACCACATTCCTTCCACAACCATCTAATCTCAGGGCAGTATCTAGTATAGGTTCCTTTAGTAGTCTACCATGTATCCTATATATTTTTAATGAAATATTTGACCTGTACCATATATAAATGTGGCATTGTGTAGAAATATGTCAATTATCACTTTTCACACATATGTTATTTTACTTGTCATTCAGTCAGTCCTTTGTGGATCTTTCTAAAACTTTAAATCCATCATCAGGGACATATATGAAAGATATCCCAGGTATTTGATCACCTATCGCAGGCTTGCTTACTATGTAGGCTTATTATCAGTAGAAATACCTCCTGTACATCAGATATCAAATATGCGCTCTATGTAGAGCTGATCCATGGGAACATATTCTGTGTTTTTTTGTATATGTGCGATATCTATTGATGTGAGGCACTTCAGGGGAGATAGAGCTAAGATCATAAGGATTATTTCAAGGTTGCAATTTCTCTATCTCTTTGGACACTATTTTGCCCTTGAAGTTACTATCGCAACAATGGATAATCACAAGGAGTGTATATTTGATGAGCTCTATGCTTCTGATACCTATGTAGAAGCTCAGGACAATCTTCAGAAGTTGCTCAAAGAGCCTGGCTATTCATTGGAATGTGTCATAGCAAGTCTGATGTTCTTTTCTGATGCCACTTACCTAGAAAATTTTAGAACTGCTAAGGCATGGCCACTCTACTTGTATTTCAGCAATCTGACAAAGTATGTGTGATGTAGCACTTGGCCTCGTTCTAGGCTCATATTCAGCAATTCCATGGTGTCATAAGGATGTTACAACCATTGGGTCATTGAAATAAAGTAACGACACTGTGTCATGTAAAGTTCAACTATATTAAATCTAATCCATTTTAGGAAAGAAACTGACAGCTCAAGTATGTCACAAATGTGTGGCAAGAACACCATGTGTAGTGAGTGGTGAGTAGAGAAGAAATTCGGGCTTCAAGACAGAAGGCACAAAGCGCGCCTGCAAATGTGTCAGTGAGATGCCAATCATGAAATTTTAGGACACGCACAACGCCACAAGCCAGCAATATCTAATACTTTTTATCATTTTTCCCTGCATTAGGGGCTGCAACGTTACTGGTGCCTGCTTGCATATCCCAACCACTATCAAAGTTTGCACTTTCCTTCAAGCACTCTCATCCAACACACGAACACACCACTACTGCTCCCAACCCTCAATTGCGGCTTCATAGACCCAACTATCAGTGCTGTCCACAATACTGAATATGATTGAATATTATTCGGATTATATTTGAATACCCTGAATATAATACATAGGTCCTGTATTCCTAGTCATGAAGATTATGGGTGAATATGTTACAATACATTATGAATACAATACATTACGGTCACTGTATTTATCCATATTCTGAATACCTACAGTTGAAGATTGGTGGCCCGGGAACACGAACAAAGAGAGACAAATTGACCGCAGACAACGTGAACTGTACAGTTTATCTACAAATTTCCCACACGCCAAAATTCAGCAGAATCGGAAACACTGCGACTTTCGCACTTCAAATCAAAACATGGCCATATCTGGCGGCCGCAGCACTGATCAGCTTCTCGCTGACCTTCGAAATGCAATCACAGGCCTGCCATTGACTGTGCCAGAAGGAACAGAGGATAGCCCTCTTGCCACACACCTTTGTGATTTTAATGTTGATGAAGAAGAGGGGCCGTTTTACTCTTTTAATCGCTCATGGGAATGGGCATTTCAACGTAATGGATACTATGTACACTAGTTTTGCATCCATGCATACGAGTTGCATACTTCGACAACCAGAACTTATGGCCCACTAGGAATCTTGGCTGTCGTGCTCACATTTTGCTTGAACACCTTTACGAGACTTATACGACCAACGACGGCACCATTAGAAAAACATCCGCTACCATTCCCACATCAGTCCCAGCCTCGCCATCAAAATCTGCCCTCATTGCAGCTTTGACTATGTCTCGCAGTGGTTCCTCTACAGTTCAAAATGAGGTAGACATCTATCTAAGTGGTCTCTACCCTTGTCCACCTGAACAAATGACCAATCCCCTTCAGTGGTGGAAGGTGAGTACACTTCTCATATAATTTCTACTGAAAATGTCTCGATGTAGTCTTCACAGCAACATGAGACGACATTTCCTATCCTGTCGCGCATCGCTCGTGATGTCCTCGCTATACCCGCTGTCAGTGTTGCCGTCGAACACTTGTTTTCCAGTAGCAAACACACCCTTTCTGATTCACGCTCCTCGATGACTGCAGAGACCGCTTCTGCCACTGTCATTACCAAGGAATTGTTGAAGCTTGGCCTTGGTGATGGAATTCAGTACCTCGATGGTGTTTCTATCCATTAAATATGAATAGATACAAATACCTATGAATACGATATGAATAAAATAACACTATCATTAAATATCTCGGGGCGGATTGAGAACATAATATGGTTAGAATAAAATATGCCCTCGAGATTATTTTATTCATATTTGGACAGCACTGCCAACTATACATCTATCAGGACCCTGCTGCATCTCCCCCACACCTGCTACACCCTCTCACTCTAGCGTCATTTGTCATATTTTCCCCATGTTTCACATTTGCACATTTTCATGTTACTTACAATGTGCATTTGTTACCTATATGTAGTTCTGCATCGAATACATTGCCAACTAACTGTGTGTATCAGTATGTTGAGTGTGCCCACACATGCTTCAAATTCAATGCAAGTAGTATTATCTACTATCTACTGTCTCCATTTTTGATATATTTGGGATATGTCAGATTCATGATGCTTGCAATTGATGGGCCAGGCACTGGAATGTTGCGGTAGCAGGGAATGCATATGGTTCTCAAATGGCTGCCATACAAAAGAAGGCAAATAGGGACTCTGATGTGGTGGCGGCCAACCATCCGACCATGACAGTGTCTGACTCCGTGGCGATGATCCAAGGGCGGTGGATAGTAATACAAATTGGATATATACTAGGCTGGATGACTACAACAAAAGATGTATTGTACTTTTAGGATAGTATCCTTGAAAGATATATTATTCTGCCTGTATCCTGTGGATTTTTTGCTTAAATACTTCTTTTGCAATGATGAGAGGTCATCATGTTTCCCTTCATTCACACCCTGAAATTCCCCATCTCATCCACCAGTTGCAATCAAGGTCTGCATGTCTGGCGAATAGACAACTGCCCATGCGTGAATGTTCCCAGTGTCGATCAGCTCAAGGATTATCTCTCCGCTTTCCATGCCCCATTGCCTTGCCATCCTATCCTGAGATCTGCTTGACCATCTCAACTCCAGCAGACAGACCACACTGGCTGTGTGTTCTGTCCATTTTGCAATGACTTTGTAGGTGTCGATGTCTCACAACCTCACTGCACAACCGCAGGGTGCAAAGTCCACACAGCACCAGCAAAGACAATGTATGGTCCTGAAGAAAATATCTGTCATCAATGATTGTTATCGAGAAATCTAGGAAAGAGATACGATACTGTGACTTCATTTACCCAAGAAGCGCTCAGTGCCATCGACACCCCCTTTGCGGAGGGGATGATCTGGATGAACGAAAGCATCCTGGGCTAATGACACCCTCAATCAAGGGACCTTTCATCAATATATCTATCTGACTGTGATCTAGAAGGCTACATGGAGTCAATTCACTTCAGGTATGTCCTAGATTTTTGCCCTTTAGATTGTGCTCATCAATGTGCCCCGTTTTCACCCTGTGATATGGACTTATGACTCAATCCATGCACTGCCTTTGGGATTTACCACTTGGTGCGTGCATTGGCATTTTCATGATGAGGACTCACTGGTACTGGATGCCTCTGACCTGGTGTCCATGCCAGTATCAGTGGGTGTGGAGGCATATGTTGCGCCCCAGCGGAGAAGCGCGAGGGTAGCTGCCAAGGCTGCTCCAATGTCTGGGCCAACGACCAAACAATCAATTGCTTCGTCAACATCAATGACCAAATAATCAATCACTTCATCTGGTGAGATGGGGTCAGCGACCAGACAATTAACCAGCTCGTCAACCGAACCACTCACCAGGATTGTTAAACCCCCAGGTCATGGTGGGAGGCAACCTGTACCACCCACAGAAACTGAGTGACCTGAGACGAGCAAGGAGTTTGCTCGTCGGGTCCAGGACAGATTCGTCCTGCGTAGTCCACAAACCTCTGCTGAACGCAGCTGTCATGCCTAATGTTTCAGTGTTCGGAGTCCACTTGAACCCCAGACCATTCATGATCAAGGAGCATGTTTTAATCACCATTATGGCTACTGTCGGATGGCAATCTGCATATGCCGTACATGCACTTACTCGTGTTTGCATCAACACAATTAATATCATCTTGCCAGACCAATATAATTGCAGTGCAGAGAGTGTTCTACCATCAAACCTCCAACTTCAGTTGTGAGTGTGTCCAGAATCTGACCGATATCGCATTGGGTCTGATATCCACATAGATAAATGTATGTTGGTCATGTCTACCCCCCTTCAGCCTTTAACTTTACATTGGTTTTCTGCCTTGGTCCTTTGATAGAGCCAGCCTGAGTCCTGATAGGTTGAGATCCATCATTCTCACTTCGTGGCATCTTCCTTGCACCATCCTCACTGCTTCCCAATAGGCTTTCTGTATGTCCTCGTTTCCGTGGTTGCCCAGTCATTGCTGGCACACTGGGTGGCAGTTGGTTCATCTGACTATAGGTCACAGTGTTCTGACTTGGAATTTGTCGAGGCTGAGTGTTGAGCATATGGTGAATATTTGAAAGCTTCAATAGTCAGTACTAGTCAGTGCTTTTTAAAATATCATGTCAATGGCTTCTAACCTCCTGGCAATATATCATGAGTAAAGAAAATTTGAAAATAGCCATGGGAACCCGCCTGGTTCATAGAATTCCAAAAATTTGTGCTGCTGATGAGAGATCTTGCAAGGAAAGAGATCAGCCACGTTGTTGGGGAAAAGGAAGAGAATTTGTGCAAGATGCTTGTGGCAACTGTCCATTTTTCTGCTCTGTCACATTAGTCAAACTCATTGCGCCATAGACCAATGAGAATAAACTAGACAGGAATATGAGAGTAGGCTAGGATTGTGCTCCAGATGCTTTTGCGGTGTGCGCACAAATATAGAGGGACCGTTACCCATAGTGCTGCGAATGAAACCAGCTGTCAGTGGACAGTGTTCTTTGTGCCAGTCATAGTTGGTTGAGGGCGTTTGTGCTAGATATACCACTGTTCAGCGTTTCTATTGCCAAAATAAGTATAATGGAGATGTATATTTGATTGCACCTTAAGACCCTTGATCTGGTGAAATGGTTTGAAATCAAACAAAAAGAAGCTGAGCCTGGACAATCAAGTATAATTTGATTTACAAACCAGTATTATGCATGCAACTACTCGGACACCAGAAATTCCAGTGGTGCGGCATCTACCCATCCCTCATGCTGAAGGCTGCCATTGTTCTTCAGTTTTCTGGGTTCAAGAGCGTCATTGGCACACTGTGGGAGGTTGATGATTGTGTCGCAAAACATGTCGTTGAGGATTTCTACAACTAACAAAGGTTGAAAATGCTATGAATTATAGCCTTGCAGACAATTGCTGAGATGAGTGCAGTTGAACAAGAAAGGCCTTCTGCATGACTTCAGCTTCAAAAGTGTCTGGGAACTGCTGATATTATAATGTTGGCTTACCATGATTTCACAGTCATTTATGGTGGTCTTCATGCTCACGGAAAAGCTCCTTCTGCTCCAAATATTATACATCAAGTGGACCAGATCCAGTCTGAAACAGAAATGGTTCTTTCAAATTCTGCCTGTGGTAAAAATAATAAAGCAAGCATAGCATGTCTGATTCAGATCAACCACATAAGATGTTGAAATGGACTATGACTAGCATGCTAGCTGCAGAACGCCCCCAAAAGCAGAAGTTGTGAATGACCTAGGCAAGATAACATTGAATTTAGGTGAGACTTGACTGATATTGTGGTGCATGACACTGTGCTTGCATAGTGTTGTGCAATTATCAATGTCTATGCCATTGCAGGGGTCTGCAGTTCACTGTGATCTCATGGTACTTCAGCAAACGCAAGGCTAATTGGCCCGTGCGGAAGGCATGTGGTTGGAGTCATTTCCATCAGAAAACTATGGGTTCATCCTGGACTTAAACTTGGGTACAAAGAAGAGTGGTTGCTGCAAGCTATTGCTAAATGCTGAGACTAGTGATTGTCCTTCAGTATGTCCAGGTTGTGGAGTCATGGACAGAGGCTTTAGAGTATGACTCAGGCTATTATCAAGTTGATTATTGCGTGGTTTGTGCATGGCCATTCTGTGTTCCTGATGAGGCTCCTAGCCCAGCAACCAATCTATTTTGGTAAGTACTCTTATTTTCTCTATTATGCTCTGTCCTGATCGGACAGGAGGTAAAACAAAAAATGATTCTACAGTGCGTAGGTATGAAGATCTATCAGGGTATGGTACATATTGCCCAAGGAATGGTAGTACAACTTGAAGGAATAAAGGTTCAGATAAAAATATGAATATGGAGGCGGGACGACCTTGCGATTGTATTTGCTCAGTAGTTTTACCAGGGCTGCTTGTCGACATCAGCAGCGCTACCCTCAAGCTCATCCTCCTCATCCTCTACAGGATCAAGTCCTTCTAAGCCATGTTCCAATACGACACATTGATATTGAGTCCACATTGCCTCAGCGATGCGATCATGCATTTCAGTGCCTTGACAAAAGTCACCCTCGTTGTCTTCTTTGATAGCAACAGCCTCCTCATCAGCAGCTATGTCAAGGTCAGGGTCCTCCTCCAAAATTTTGTCTCCATCTCCATTATTGACAGGGGGCATACCCTCACTAGGGTCGTGCACACAAATGTAGCTATGGATTGCACAAAGCATGGCTGGTATTTGGGTCTGGACCAAACCGTAATGCACTTTGAATTTAATAAGTTGTGCACCGCTACATGTGGTGTGGGAATTTTTAATAATCATGTGATGGATACCGTGGTTCATTCATCGTAAAATTTCATTGCAAAACTTCTTGAAAATTGGGCCGTAGTGGTTCCTGTTGACAATGATTACTATGAGCTGCACCAAAAGGGCATTGGTAGTGTCTGCCGGGTTGGGCTGCATTCTGATGATAAAAGTAGTGATGATGGTTGAGAGCAGACCAGCCTGATTCGCCCATGAGATTTGCATTGATAAATATAGAAATGAATGCACAAAATTCAGGATAACAGTTATATCACTTTGGGCTTGGTTGACGAGGTCATTATCATACTCATTCGAGATCCTCTTGTATCTCGCCCAGAACTTTGATCTATCATCCTTGCCATGTTCTCCTGCAATAGTAGATTCTTGAAGGACTTTGAGGATGTGCCCCAGCATGTCTGATCTTTGAGAAGAATAAAGTCTGACGTCAAGTGCATGCTGCTGATGAGTTGACATTCACATATCCTTGGCAATATTTTCTTCAATGTACACCACAGGATTCTTTTTCACGTTATTCAGCTTGATTTCATTGTCCAGGGTATATGACTTTTGAGACAACATAATTAGATGCTAAATGTGCCGTGCTTATTGGTTAATGATTACATATTCTCAGTCAGGCCACCACGTTCCTCATTCACATTATTCAGCTCAAGTTCATCCTGGATCTCATTCAGGGTGCTTGACCTTTGAGATAATAGAGTCAGATGTCAATATACCATGCGGATTGATTGACATTCACACATTTGCAACAAGGTCAACCTCGATCGCATTCCTGTGTGTGCATGGGTATTATGGACAACTGAGTCTAATTTGCTACTTACTCGTTGGTCAGGAAGTCGACCCTGACAGGTTGGGGACTGGGTCGTGATAATGTGCTTGGCATGCCATCCTCTGGCTCCAACTTCAAGGGTCCCATCTCTGACACAACAGTATGTACTGTCATGTCATTGTGTCATTCTTTCATTGCCCATCCCCACTCCAACTTCAATGGTCCCATCTCTCCATGTCGTACTTTGGGAATCAGTCCATCCCTGACAGTACCATTGTGTCGTTCTTTTAATACTTTCCCCCACCTCCAACTTCAATAAAGTATGTGAACTGACTCTTCGGGGTCACTTGATAAACATTCGCGAATGAGACCTGCTGCAAAATTTTGCAAACTGGGGTGAGGATCAGTAAACAAATTCTTCGCTCAGGTGCGCACATTGCTGCTCCATTTAATGTGGATTTTAACTCTTGGGGGTTGATTCTCCATTCTCTGCCATGCAGGAGGTGCCAGGCTTTCAAGGCTGCCACGAAGTTGGACAACACTGAGCTGGAGTAGGATCCTGCACAGCTCTAGAGGAACTCGAAAAGATGAAGACAGACCATTAGCTCTATGGAGATCAGTCGCTGTGATACACCTGTGCCATCTGGTAATGGATCTGGACCAAGTGCTGCAGTGCCAACACACGCGGACTTAACACTGGCAGTCTGCCATGTGATATACTTCGTTTATAACCATCATCACCATTCTAAACAAAAGACCTTTTTGAAAGTTTTCCCACTTATTGCATAGTCTGTGATAGCACCTGAAACTCGGATTACCATGATTTGCATTTGTACTGTTGTGCATGCACTGTGGTCAATCACTCACGGTCTCCTACCCATTGAATACAGGTACGTGTCGTCATTTCAAAACAGAATATAAATATTGAGCTATCTGCAGGAATGGACTGGTATTTTTTTCCAGGCCATGTCATTGAAGGCTCTTGGCCTTCGTGTCCAGCTCGGGCATCCTGTTGGCCAATGCTGCATTCTCCCTAGACACACATTCAACAGTGAGTTCGTGCTAATAGACACAAACGGAATCCATGAAGTCGGATTGGATTTCTGTGGTTGTGAAACTTTGAATTCACATGTTGAAAACTGCAGCCACCTTTCAACTGCTGTGCAACTTCCAACTTTTATCATTTGAGTCGAAGGCATCTGCCTATGAGTTCTATCACTCACTAGTTCGTCTGACAGATAATACAGGTCTTACAAAATGCAAGGTAAGGTGCTTCATCATTTTGTCTACTTGATTACTTGTCTTAACCTTTGACTTTAAGACTGTTACAATGTGTTCTTACAAATGGTTCATGAGTGGCAACATCTTAAGATTGTGAAACACTTTGGTCATGGACATGAAGTGAGCGGCATTGATGGCACATCGCAAGGTGAATGTGTCGTTATCTGTCCAGCTTGTCCCCAGCCTGGTAAGGATTTGCACGATGGCTGGGCACTTGCAACAAAAGCGAACTGGTAAGTATTAGAGATTTCTAAGTACAGATATGGGCTCATGTGATTCAGTTGGTTGTACGCCACCACCACTGTATCATTGCAAGCACTCCCATAGCACAGTTTGACTCATATTTCATTTGGTGCATCTGACATTTCAGCCCACATTCACTAGCACAAGCACTTTCTTTTGTGCATCAGTCTGTGCACCTTTGGCTCCATCAATTGTCCTCTGTCTGTCTATTCCATATATGTTTTGGTTTGTCAGTGCACATTTCTATTCTATTTCTGTGTATTCTTACAGCAGGCTTGAAACCTATATAATCATTCTTTGCCAAGTGGTTGTCACAACAGAATTAAAGTCTGTTTCTCCTGAACTGTGCATGTTCAAAACCTGCTGAATGATCCATGTTTTGTCTGTGCCTGCTGCCTCTCTTCATGGTCAGCTGGTCCTTCTGCAAGGCCACCTCAAGACTCGCCTGGATCATGGTCAATGAAATCTTCATCAGCAAAGTCTTCTATTCTATTTTTGTCAGATTGTGAATGCGAATAAAATTATGGATGGTGCAAAGGGCTAGGGGTAGTGTTGCCGCAGCTGCAGCTTGGCTTAATAAGCCACAGCTTATCCTATAAACGGCTAGCTGAACTGGTAGAACCATGGCTAAGCGCCGGCTCGGTTCCAAAGTGGCTTGCAAGCGGCTATTTACAGGTTCGGCAGGAAGCAGCATGACCCGAGTATTAGGGAAGCCAAATCTGAGTAGTAAAATGACAGAAATAAGCAAACAAATTCAGTCATGACAGACACAGAGAGTGGAAAGGGAGCTCTTGAGTCTTGAATGCATACAAAAGATAAGGACTCTACAGAAGTTGACGAAGGTAGGGATAATCTGGTTTCTCGCTGAACTGAAGACCGCGAGCATAAGTGAGCATGGTGGTGAATCCTGAGGGAAGTCCAGAACAGAGTGTTTTGGGAGCTTCAAAACATGAGTAGGTACTAGGTAGCACTGCAGTAGTACTAGTAGGTACAACATAGATCATCAATAATGGATCCAGCACAGTCCAGTCTGAAATAAATAGTAGATTGTCAGATATAACGAGATACCTAATCAACACTCATCCTCGGGGTCGCTGCCTTCAGACAACTCAATGACATTCTGATCGAGAGCATCGTTTTCGTCATCCTTTGCCAAGAGATGGAAAAGATTGTCCAACTTCTTGATACTATCTTTTCCCTGTGCTTCCATGAGTACAGAGAGCAAGTCCATGTCAGTGTCAGCTTCCTCAAATGCTCGCTCGTCAAGTACTAATCCCTCTGTAAAATTAAGGCGAGACTTCTTGTAGAAAAACTTCAGCATTTGAAGAGCCTCCATAAGTGCAGGGTTGATGCGGTTGTGCTTGTTTGTGTCGGTCTCTCCACTGGAAGAGAATATGCGTTCAGACAGAACTGCAGAAGCCTGTATAGGAAGGTAATCCATGGCAATCGAGAAAAGAATCGGAAATGTGAACTCGTTCATCTATAAGAGATACGTATAAATTAATACCATAAGATAAATAGCCCTCCAAGTGACAACATACCAGCCAAAATTGCAATATATCAGTGCTGATTGGTGATGTTGTTCCATTGAAATATATGTCAAATTCCTGATTGACGGTTTTGTCCTCTCCACCGTGAAGATTACATACAAGCATGTCATCCTCAAGTCCATATTCTTCCCCAATGGTCTCAAACAATGACAAAGGCTTGCAGGCCCTTGCAATGACCTTGACAGGTGACTTTGCACGACATTCCTGTCCCCTGGAGCGGGGCGTGCTATCATGCATCTGCAGGGTGTTAGAAACAATGCCAGGTCAGATGTGCTCGAAATACCTTTGATTTGATTACTTGTATTGCTTTGTCAGATCCCTCATGTGACCAATGTCTCTTGATCCAACTCATGCAATATGCTGGGTTAAGAACTAATGAAATGCATTAATTATAAGAGTAAGGAAGACAAAGTAAAAATCACATACCCATTGCTATGATATACGTGTCTGATTGCATACGATCATAATACTTCTGAGCCCATTGTAACCCAATGTCCAAGAATGGCTTCAGATGGGGTTGGCTATTCTGAAGAGACTTCCACTTCGCAATGAATTGTTCGAAGATGATGATAGTGCCGCATAAGACTGGCAATCGTTCTGACAGCATGGACTGAAGTGCGATATGAGGAACCTGGATGTAAAATAGTATTGCGCATCACTATTAACCATTCAGTTCATTTGATAGAGCTTACCATCAGCATAACTTCACAATCACGAAGTACAAGCCACTCTGTTGTCGAGAGTTTGTGCCTTCATAACTCCTTGTTATTAGGGCGCTCAAGAAAGTAATTGATAGGCTAATAATGGGTTGAGTTGATGATAACAAAAACATTCCAACACATTACCTGCTGTAGATATCGGAGGTGTCGTACCATAAAGTAAACGGAGTCCCAACGTGTTCTCGAATCCTGAAGCAACTGCAGAACAGAAAGTTCACATGACTCCGTCCATCCCTCCTTTGTTGTGTATGTCCACCATGACTGCTCATTGCCTTCCATGGTGATAGCCTCGAAGGCATCTCTGCGCATACCAGATGCACGAAGCACTTGGACAATATTGCAACCAAGTGCGATAGGATCACATTTGAGGGCTTACTCATAAGTGTGTGACTCGGAACGGTTCTGGGGAAGCGTAGTGATCCAATCATCATCTTCGGGCAGATCCAAGTTCGTAAGACTCTTGACAACATGGCCAACACAGAGGTTAAGGATGTGAGGGAAACAATGAATTCTGCAGGAGAGAGCATCAAAAGAGATGTCACATTCTTCTAGCAAGATCTCAAGATTGGTCATCATGGTATCATTGTTATTGGCGTTATCCATGGTGAAGTGCCCAATCTGGGAGGAAGTCAGCAGGAACGTATAATACATCAAGGATGTATACCCTGGCTGTGATTTCGGCCCTATCAAGCAAGCGGACAATAATATTAGCCAAGTTTTCTCCAGTATGACGCCCCTGCACACGATGGAAAGCGATCAAAGCAGCTTTCAGAACGAGGTGGGACGCCTCGCGCGCGATCCAATGTGCAGTCAAACACAGGTATGGGCGTCGATGTTTGTCCAACCACAGATCTGTTGTCACTGAGATCTTGCCTAGTGCAGCCTACATACAATAGATCAGTAGGACTCGGGAGGTTTGGTAGAAGAGACACATACCTTTAGATCATTCTCAGAACATCGAAATACTTCTTCCATGCTACAATGATAAGTTCTCTTGTCTTTGTTTGCTTGGGGATGTCACGTTCTTTCAAGTCCTTGCGCAACAAGAGTAGGAGTTGTCGAAATTCAGCACACTCGACGACGTTAATAGACTACATTGGATGCAATCAACATAATGAAATATTACAGAATGTAGACACTTACTTGATCATCTGCAACTATAAAACGAATGAGACGGGCATGGAATTCTTGATGATTGAAATGATCGATGGATGGGTCCAACTGGGAGGATTCTGTTGTTTGGGCATTGGTACCACTGGTAGTTCCAGCCTGGGTCCTTGTGCGCATAATTTGGTTCTCAAGCTGATGCTTGGCGCAGAACTGAAGGTATGCTTTTGAGTGGAGAGCATCAAGGTGGCCTCTGAGAACGCTGGTTGATGTCCTCGGGCCATAACTGTAGCTCTTCTCAGGTGTCTTCTTTTTCTTCCTGAAGGATAGTGTCAATTTAATTATCAGAAAGGCAAAGAATACTTACATGCACAACCTGCATGTCTGCTTTTCAGAAGTACGTTCGAAAAAATGATTGATATCAGTTGCGCCTCTAGACTTTCTTGGAAGCCGTCCTCCCCCAGATGGCTCTGTAACCTCCAATTCTTCAAGGTCTGACTCGTCAGAGCCGTCAAAGGATTCAGAGCTTGAAGAAATATTGTTGTCCTCGGCATCATCATCAGTTGATGGTTGAAAGTCTGATTTGCTTAAGGTCTCTGGTGGCGCTAGAGAAAGCAAATCTTGTCTGACTTGGCGAGTTCGCTTCCTCACAACAGGATGCGCACACGCCAGCTGTGGTGTAGCAGGTGCTGATGCACGTGTGGTTAGAGGTTTTGGGTCGTTCAGCTTGGCTGGTATAACAACAGTATCAAGGACAGGCTCGAGGACAGGCTCAAGGTTCTCTATGATGGGTTCAAGAGCATGTACAGGTGCGGCTGTGTCCAGGAGGCGAGCCTGTTGAGGATCTTTGTGGGGATTATGATGAGGAGCACCAACAACAGACCCATCTGCAGCAATCTTCGGCCGAGGAACTCTACGGCTGCGCCCTAGCTCTGCATTGTCATCAGTTAGGCTTGGTGCAAGTTCCTCAGATGCAGGGGGTGGTCATTTGAGCTTCCTCAACATTAAGTTAGTCGATGAAGTTTGAACTTTGAGTTGACGTGAACTCACCCTCACATTTAAATGTTAGCCACTAGTCAGGGAGTCAGGGTTCCAGGGGCCAGGGCTCGGCAAAGTTGGTTCTGGGTGGCCTCGAGGACAGACTGCTGTGAAATATAATTATAAGTGTAGTAAGATAGAAAAAGATCGTGTTGTGAGATATCGTTAGCAAGGTCAATTGTGATTGAATCATCAGGTATCGCATATCAAGACTAAGCAGACTGTAAGCGGGCGCCTTCCATGAGTAATAACACATAAGATTCCATGGAACAACCTTGGGAAAGTAATACATGAGACAACAATAAAGACAAGAGCAAAGGATACACAGCACAGCGACAAAACATAAGTGATCCCAGCGAGAATAAATCTCAGGCACAGTTGCAACTTGCAGGAGATTGACAAGTCATTCATCTTTGGAATCATCATTGTTCTGCTTCCTCTTGCTGACAGGACTTAAGTCAGACCGAAGCCACCAATTAGTCTTCGACACGTAAAATTCCTTGAGTTCCTTGTGGTCCTCCACAAGGATGCGCTGCAGATCGGGAGAATCAGCATCAAGCCACCCTTCCTCCCAATCAAGGTGAGTATTGAAGATATTAATGATGCCCTTGTGCGATTTCATGGCCTCAAGGCCATCTAGCTTTATCGCAACCAAGTTGTCCTGCGATGCCATCTTGACTATTGGGTCATGCAGATGAAGCTTCACAAGTCTAGACATTTTCCTCTGCTTCTTTCATTGAGGGGATGTATCTTGCTGAGAACATCTTCTGCAATTGCTGCATGAGGGCATCAAGAGCCGGGCGACCCTTGAAAAGAGGGGTTGTTGATGTAATAGAAGACTTCAATTGCAGGAAGTTTGCCTTCCCGGAACCCCCCGAACCCTGAACTTGCTCAGGGTCCAGGGTTGTGTGTAAGAAGTGCGATCGCTGAGCATCACTGATACAAGATACTGTGAAGATGAACATGATCCATAAGATCATGTATAGCGTTACTCCATGTCGTCCTGGAAGTTGTGAGGTGTGTTCATGTCGGCAACAAGGCGAGCAGACATGAACTGCCATGTCCCCTATCAACCGTCATTAGGGTTCGTGAGTCATGACCATCACCGAAGTGAAATGTACATACAGTTCTAGTAATTTGTCTTGGCCCCGAGTCCTGAGTCAATTTAGCGAGATCCCAGTCTATGAGAATACCTTCATTCTCACGCACCATGATATTACCTACACTGAGGTCACAATGTAAGATGTCGCAATCCTCATATGCATCCTGATGAGCTAGAGATAATAGTAAATAAGAGGCCATCGCCCGAGAATGGAGAGAATCACATACCTATTAAAGCATCTCGCACTACTTCAACAACTTGGCGAGAACTGATGAAGGATGTGATTGGGGTAGCGACAATATTAAGAACGAGGCGATAGTGAACATGAGCTATAAGAATAGCTCCTGTAGGACGGGCCCATGGCGCATCCTTAAAGTGACCGGTTTGGGTGGTATGTGCATTCGAGCCACCCAAAACATCACCAAAGGCTAGGCATGTTGCAACATGTCGAACGTGCTTCTCATTCAGACACTTGTATACATCCCCTTCTGGAATGATGTCCAGCAAAAGGACACACCATGTGTCCTTCAAGAACACAACACGATCTCCCTTGGTATTGTACGCAGAGAATCCACGTGTATTGTGCCCTATGGGGGAGAGTCCTGTTGCAACCAGAGCAGGGACTAAGTATGTTAAGTCTGAGTGAGCCGTCTGCATCTTTCATTGAGATCTGAAAGATTCGGGCATTCGATGGTAAACCGAGCTTCTGCCTGACGGTGGTTATGAGACGCAGGTAACGTGATGTAACACGGGAAATGGTTTCGTCATGGCCATGCATTGCATGAGGTGCAACATTGTAGCGTCGGAAGAAATTGATAAGGGCAGGAGACTCTCGATAGAAATAGGCTCAGTGACAATGAATCCCTCGTGATCCCACCTTATCAGGCGAGCATAGTTCTTGATGATGAGGATCTGGTAAGCGTGAGTGCGCCACTGAGCACCTAGCTGAGCAGAGGCGTATGCGGTGATTTGGCCCATCGTGTCTCTTGCTTGTTGAGAAGACATAATAAACAAGGAAGCACTGGACAATGTAGAGAATGGGTCATCACCCTTGTTCCATTTGAACTCTACCATCATCTCAGCTTTCGTCACATCACACCTGTCGGGGGTCTTGATGTTCAACGGGTATATGCAAACATCGGGCTTGATGTCATATTTTATTGATTTGCAGTTGTATATATCCCCCTTGGAAGAGACATCGACGAAGGATAAGTCGAAGTTGAATGCGCTCATGGCGTGCACCTAGTAAATGAATTCAAATTAGTTGATAAGGGATATCAATAATATCATGGGGGGTACATACAAATTTACAGTATGCTGGAACCTCACTAGTGCACTGAATGGTTTGCTCGAAACATTCTAATGGCTGGTTAGTGAGAGGAGTATATCCATGATCCAGTAATTGGCTGCTTGGAAAGAATTCGTCCAAAAATTGCTGAACGGGCATTGGACCCACTGCAAAGGGTAACACCTCTTTCCCAAGGCCATTGATTGTATTGATACGATAACGCGCGTTGGTAGAGAATGGAACCATGGTAGATGAGCCGTGTTTGATTGGAGTGTCGTAACCACTGTCTTCAATATCAGTATCAGTGATCAGCTGAGGGTCTCCAGGTGCAGGAGTGACTGAAGGCAGACAAGCGCCAGACCCAGACTCAGGGGGTGCTGACGGTCCATAGGATTGCACAGGTTCATCAGTGATATGAGTAATGACATCGACAGCATCCTGTGGGGCGGCGCTGGCCATGGTCTAAACGGTTAGCTGCTTACACAGCCGCTTCAAAGCTGCAGCTTGCAGCTAGCCAGCTGTGGGAACCGCCGTAATGTGAGATCCGAGTCTCGGCTAAAGCCACCGGTCGAGCCGAGCCGGAAGCTGTGACAACACTAGCTGGGGGGATGCAAGCTTGTGTCAGTATACTATACTCTGGTGGGTGTACCAGTGTTGTGAAATGCCTCTGGGAACCCAAAATATTCTCTCAATGACATTATGAGCTTGAGTGTGCCAAAGATTGTAAATTTCTTTCAATGTTTTTGGCCTGTCACAGCATTGAGAAGACTCTACTACATTGACCTAGATGACAGTGGGATTAAAGCTATAGAAACCTCAAAGCATTATTTGAGCCAATTCAGAAGTGAATCCTCAAGGTACGTTTATCTGCATTTTGTCAGTTCTAACATTAATTTCCAACATCCTCCTTAAGTCCAATCATATGTGATTCTTCCATTGTCGGTTGTCATTCATGACCCAGTTGTTGATCCAAAAGACATCACAAACATCATTGGCCTACTGTGGTGGTCTGCTATCAGCACTTTTTCAGAGCAATTGCTAGATAAACAGACCTAAGAATCAATTATGGTGACCATAGTATTGAAAGAACTGCCTTGAGGATTCACTTGTGAATGGGTCCAGTGGAAGTGCATCTCACTGGTCTTAGTCAAGCAGACAAAATGCAGATAAATGTACCTCGAGGACTCACTTCTGAATCATTGGGTTCATTGGAAGTAAATCTAACTGGTTTTAGCCAAGCAGTTGATACAACAGAATCTAAATCTGTCTGTGTGGGTTCAAAACCTGCTAAAGATGTCATTGTCAAGTGATCACCAGAGTCAAAATCTGTTTCTCTTGGAATGCGCAGGTTTGAAACCTGCCAATGATAAAATTTATTTTCTATGAAAACACATCTTAACAATTGTCTCATGAGTGATTTTCTCAAAAACTGATCTCAACTGATGTTAGCCATGTCATTGCCACAATAGATTCACAATCTGTTTCCATTGAAGTCTATAGGTTTGAAACCTGTTGAGTGATGCATTTTTTGTATTAGAACATGTCTTGAATATCTGCTCAAAGACAGCATCTCAAATGTTGATCTTCATTGGTCTTAGTTGAGTTGTCACCAGAGTCAAAATCTGTTTCTCTTGAACTGTGCAGGTTTGAAACCTACCAATGCTAACATTTTTTATTTATTCTAAACCAAAAACCCAAAAATCTCAGATCCAATGCTTTGGCATTGGACACTGTTTCTCACTCTCAGAATTTTGACCTCACACCCATCAGGATCTGACTGCTGCAAGGAAGCGAACTGAGTGGAGGGATACTATGAAGTGTGCAGGGTGAGGATATGAGAGCCAACAATATGAATGTTAGCATATTCAATTGAGCATGTTGCAATATGAAAAAAAGTGTGTCATCTGACGTGTTTCAATGATGTGGCTAAGACCATCTTTAAATGAGTTTTTGAGAAAACTATCTATGAGAAAATGTTATGATCTGCACGGTTCAAGAGAAACAGATTTTGACTCTGGTGGCAACTTGACTAAAACTAATGAAGATCAGTGTCTGAGAGAGTGTCTACGATTCAATATTCAAGACATCATCTTCTAATAGAAAAAATGCAGCATTCAATGGGTTTCAAACCGTCAAGGTGCATTTTCATAAAATAAAATAAATGTTATCATTGGCAGGTTTCAAACCTGTGCAGTCTGAAGAGAAACAGATTTTGACTCTGATGATCACTTGCAATTTTATCTTTAGCAGGTTTTGAACCCACAGAAACAGATTTAGATTGTGTTGTATCAACTGCTTGGCTAAGACCAGTTGAATGCACTCCCAATGAATTCATTCATAAGTGAATCCCAGGTGGTTGCCAGAGTCAAAATATATTTCTCTCAAACTAAGCAGGTCTGTAATCTGTTACCTTGCGGAGCAAGGTCATGTTGGATGGCAGATAATCTGTCAGTCACCTGACATGAACATCATGCTGTGCAATAATCGAAAATGATAGAACTACGTCAATATGAATACACAAAACTACTTCATAAAGTATCCAATTAGCTACTCAGAACTTGGTCTCGATGAAATACAGTCAAACTCTGAGCTCGATCTCGATGTCATGATACAATTTTAAATTAGTGATGTTCCGGCCCGGCTTAGGCTCGGCTTGGGGGGGGGGGTTAGGTTCACTAGATTTCAAGCCTGAGCCGTGAGCCCAAGCCAGCCCAAAGCTGGGGCTTAGGCCCATGCAAGCCGCGGCCCACATGCTGAATTGCGTGTAATCGATGTCTGAGCTCCACCATGCTGTTCCCAAGACCATGAACACCATGCGCAAACGCCCAGCACACGTCAGCAACTGCTGATGTGGCTCAGACGAATACGGACGATGGATGAGAGCAGGAGAAGGGAAGAAGAGAAGGAGGAGAACGAGAACAAGAGAGAGGAGATGGACGATCGGTAGCACTCGAGTGCTTCGATTCTGCTCGCCCGGAAGAGTAAGTGCTGAATACTATAACTCGGATACCTGAAGTACAGCGTCGAAGAGGGATGTATTTCAAACGGTTGATGAACCACTCGCCGACTTTGGATCTAATTGTAGGTTGGGCACCTAGACCACAGACCAACCAAAATTTCGTAACACGTCGACCTTGAAATGTCTCGAGGGCCAGGCGGACGATGATCTTGTGTTCCATTTGAGATCAACGGATCTCTTTCGGTCGCCATTTCGTGCATATGTAGTTGAAGTTGGGAGTCAAACTTCAAAGAGTGTCACGCGATGAAGAGCCTCCCAGTTATGTTCGCGTGCAAGAGCAATCGCATGGTGCCCATCTGGAATACAAAACATTTTAGCAGATGCAAAAATCACGGGATGATATAGTGAGGATGGTAGAGCGCGTGAAGCCGCATTGGTCTATTTGGATTTGTTGAACTTTCGTACATTTTGTGTGCTGTTAGTAGCCTGTTACGATGTTTTAATCGGCTTATCGAACATGCTCAAAAGGCAATATTAGGACCAAGCTGAAGACGATATCGAATATGCTAAAGGCCAACCTATTAATTGGCTGAAAAAATGACTTATCGCTGTGAAAACGAAAAACAAGCAGACTTAGGACTGCCGTCACGCAGATTTGGGGGTCCGAAAACGATGAGTGTTGGAAGAGGTCGACAAGGCCGATTCCCACAAATTAAAAATTCTCCGGAGCAAGGTCATAAATTTGCACAGTGAACCCCTAGTATAATGATGTGTATTGAAAGAACTGACAAAATGCAAATAAATATGCCTTGAGGATTCACTTTTGAACGAGTTCATTGGAAGTGCATCCAACTGGTCTTAGCCAAGCAGTTGATAGAACAGAATCTAAATCTGTCTGTGCAGGTTCAAAACCTGCTAAAGATGAAATTGCAAGTGATCACCAGCTTCAAAATCTGTTTCTCTTGAACCATGACAGGTTTGAAACCTATCAATGATTGATTCTTTTTTTTTATACAAAAATATGCATTGACATTATTTCTTTATGGACTTTGAAATGTGTTGAATGATGCATTTTTGCTATCAGAACATGTCTTAAATATCTGCTCATGGACAGCATCTCAGACATTGATCTTGATAAGGAAATGTCAAGGTGTGATTTCATAGAACAAAAATGTTGTTAGTGGCAGGTTTGAAACCTGCACAGTTCAAGAGACACAGATTTTGAATCTGGCGACAACTTGACCAAGATCAATGAAGATCAATGTCTGAGATACCGTCTATGATCAAATATTCAAGACATGTTCTTATATGACAAAATGTGATGTTCTGCAAGTTTCAAACTTGTTGCGCTCCAATAAAAACAGATTTCAATTCTGTGATCACAGCCACTTGACCAAACACAACTGTGATTGGCTTGCAAGCAAACTGACCATGAGCAAATTTCAAGGTGTGTTTTCGTAGAAAATGAATTGTACCACTGGCAGGTTTCAAACCTGCGCAGTCCAAGAGAAACAGATTTTGACTCTGGAGATCACTTGGCAAATTGATCTTCAGCAGATTTTGAACCCACGCAGACAGATTTAGATTCTGTTGTATTTAACTGCTTGGCTAAGACCAGTTAGGATACACTCCCAATAAATACATTCAGAAGTGATTCTTTTTTATCCTGCTCAAACCTGCCTCTGATTAGCTGACAAGCTGACTGACCATAAGCATATGTCAAGGTGCTTC